TCAGGGTCAAGAATCTTTGGGTGAAGCATGCCCAGCCCTGGGTTTGAGGGTGGGGGTGGCTGCCCACCAGAAGCTGCAGGATGTCATCAGGAACATTCAGCAAAGTGTCACACACAGCCCTGGCAGAGGAATGGGAGAAGATCACTGGAGCCTGTGACACTTCCAAGACCCGCCTCACCAAGGTGTCCGATGCGTAAGACAAGTCTATCATCATGCCCAGTCGGTTCATTTCCTTCACCATTTTCTGCAGGGACAATTGGATTTTTTAGGGGTGCAAAAGTGTGTGCACATATCTGTAGGAAGGGTGGGCAACATAATAGAAGTCCTCACCTCACCAAAGCTTGTCAGTCCGCTGATGTTGGTGTAGAAGTGGTGTCTGAACTTGGTGGAACTCTCTGCCCTGCAGGAAAGCCAGGCGAGAGCAATTTAGCTGGCCACACCTTGGCCATCAGAGCCTGGGGACTCTCTGTCTGTCCATCCATCCTACCTCCAGGACAGGTGAAGACCCAGGGCCAGCTACTTTCTGGGAATATGAGGGACCTGTTGGGAGTCCAACCTCCCTTGGTGGCCCTGTTTATCCTCCACTCTCTGGCCAGGCCCATCCCAGGGACTGGGCAGTTTCCCCACCACACCGTCTACCATCCACCTTGGCCAGGTGCCGAGCTCACCAGGGCGTGCTGCAGGTGTGGACAAGCGTCAGGTAGCGCACTCCCAGCAGATAGAAACTGCGCAGTACAGAGAGGCTGCTGTCCAACGTGTGACCACCCTCCACACCAATGAGGCAGGCCAGCTTTTGAGTGCTGTTCAGGCCTAGAAGGTAGAGTCCAGTGGTCAGAGCCCAGGAACAGAACCGTTAGAGTGACACCCTATCCCCCCATCATCAGCCAGCCCACCTTCAACTGAGGTCACAAGCTCCAGCTCTGAGTAGGAGGCACACATGCGGCGAATGAGGTCAATCTGCTCCAGGGTGAGGCGCACAGCATCCCGGTCCTGGGCTTGGCATGGGACATAGGCCGACCAGAACTGCGGATAGGTCCAGGGTTCCAGAATGAGGCCAGGGTGGTCTTTAACCCCTTAGGCCAGCTATTCCTGCCTCAGTCCCCAAGGTACCCTTTTGGGTCAGTGGCTCCAGGTGAAGCACTTCATGCTGCCAGGAGCCAAACAACAGACTCATGACACATCATGAACTGTTGTCCGTGTGCCATGTGAATGCCCCAAGGCCAGTCCACCATATCCAGCAGCTTCCACACTCACCAGAGATTTTCTGGTCATTTTCTTGTGTCTCCACAAACCTTGGACCATTGGAGCCTCCTGGCCCAGACCAGGTCCTGCTGAGGGGCCAACTACAGACTGAATCTTTTTTTTTTTTTTTTTTTTTTGAGACAGAGTCTCACTTTGTTGCCCAGGCTAGAGTGAGTGCCGTGGCGTCAGCCTAGCTCACAGCAACCTCCAACTCCTGGGCTCAAGCAATCCTTCTGCCTCAGCCTCTCTAGTAGCTGGGACTACAGCTACAGCTACCCATGCAACTCCCCTGTCTTGGCCTCTAAGGTCCCACACTCCCTAGAAGGTCCATGATGGCCAATGCATGTCCCATGGTACCTAGTCACCCAGAAGCTGGCCCAGCCAGGGTTCTGTGGCCCTAATATTCCCCAACAGCCATGCTATGCTACCCTGTTTGTCCCTGTGGTACCTGGGCACCCACGAGGCCATCTCTAAGCCTGTCCAGGCTGGTCTGGCCATGGCTGAAGTTGCGTAGGTTAACATCCTGTAGCCTGTTCTGGAAAAGCTGTCTCAGGATCAGAGGCAGGTCGTTGTGGCTGGGGATGGGAAGTCAAGGTCAGAGTGGGGACGTGGCCTCCAGATCAGACAGGACATAATCAACATGCCTGGATCTCCCCTCTCCCATCCCACCAGGCCCCTCTGTCACACAAACAATATGGAGACCTCCTGAGGCCGGGTTGGAGGAGGAGGGGTTCCACCAGGAGTGAGGTAACAGGAAGGACACCCATGGGTGATGGGGGAGGGCACCTCCTTGCCAGCCCTGCATGCTCACAACCCCCACCTCTGCCCTGGGGTGCGCTCAGCCCCCGTCGCTCCACACTACACCCACGTACCCGTCCACCAGCGGGAAGGCGCGCATCAGGGCCCGCGCGTGCCCCTGCAGGCTCTGGGCCCCGGGGGTGCCCGGCGAGGTTGGGGCGCTGGGTGTGGTCTGGGCCCGGGTTAAGGGCTGAGACAGCAGCAGCAGGAGCAGCAGACGCAGCAGAGGCCGCCGGCCGAGAGCGTGGGGACCCTCGAGGCCGGCGGGCTGCATGTTTCACAGGGACTGGTCACAGGAGGCTGGGAGGAGCAGGCGAAGGGCAGAGGGCGACGATGGAGTCCAGGCTGTCGATTTAGGCGACCCAGTAGTGCGCCCCCGCAGGGTGGTTGCAGTCAGGTCACCTGGCGACGGACCCCCTGGGATCCACGACTCCGTGCGTGCGCGCGCGCAGGGCGGCCGCCAGGGGGCGCCACGGCCCCTGCAGCCACGGAAGCGCGCCCCCATCGGCTGGTCGGTGCATGCGCGTGCGTCCGCTCCAGATGTACCGTGGCTCTCTCCGCCCCTGCCCCTGCTGGGACCCTGTACCTGCCCCTCACGCTTGCTCCGTGGACCGACAGACTGGGGAGGACACCGGGGATTGGCAAGGGCCCAGGACTCTCCCTGTTTTCGCCCTCTAGCTAGGCCCTCCTGGGGCGTTAGCTGCTCCCATGTGCCCCCCCTCAAACAGGTCGAATATTCCATGACATTCTAAACTCTGATGCAGAAGAGTGAATTATAATAGATCTGTATGTTTGGATTGACAGAAAAAGATTCCCTGTGGGGTTGTTAAAGTGATATTTAAGAACAATATTTATGGGAGACCCTTATTTTAGCACTATTATATTTTGTTTCTGTACATATATTAATACACCCCCCCCCACCAGAGAAGTATGCACACCAAATATTAATTGTGTCTCTCTTGGGAAGAGGTCTACCTACTCCCTGGTCACTTTCTATCTCATTTCTTTCGGTATTGTGATACTGGCCGAGGGCAGTCATGGGTGGCACTTATGCAGACAGACCAGAGTCCCAGGGAGTTGGGGGACACACCAGAGCAGTAGCTGAATCTTGGGAGGATGGGGTCTGTATCAGGCAGAGGAGTAGAGAGGGCACCCCAGGCTGGCCACCAGCCCAGGCAGAGGTCTAGTTTGGGCCTTCCACTGTTGTGGGGAGGCGGGGGCAGATCCTCTTGCATGGAGTGGTGGACAAAGTCAGGTTAGGGTCCTTGGTACTGACAGCTCGAGGTGGTTTGGTCTGACACATAGCTTCATCTGGGGCAAAAATCCTCCCCAGAGAAAAGGTAGTTTCCAGGTGGGCCAGAGGACTGGATAGTGTAATTCACCATTTGCTGCTGCAAAAGCTCTGGTGCAAGGGAAATGGATCTCAGACCTGCATCTGGGTACCATTGGAGCCTCCTGGCCCGGATCAGGTCCTGCTGAGGGGCCAACGCCACAGGCTGAATCTAAATTGTCCCCCCTTCTACATCTGTGTCTGTCTCCTGTTCTCCCACCTGGGCTACCTGTTAAGTGGTCCTTCCCTTCTGGGCACCTCCAGAAGGGGCTTGGCCTTTGGGGACCATTGCCCTCGGTCACTGCCCCCTCCTCATGCCTGGGGCTTAGTGACCCAGCTGCCTCTAGCTTTGGTCCTCCCAGGAAGGGCAGAGAAAGGTAATGTCTATTCTGGTCCCTCATAAATCTCAGCTGACCCGCCCTGGAGGTCTTCATTTAAGTGACTTTGAACAACATAATGAATGACAACTTTGCTAACAGTTTAACAAAAGTGCAAAAGCATTGCACATACAGCAGTTTCCTATATTAGATTTAGATGAAAGGATGAAAGGAGAGGGGATAATGTTTATAATTACTGTTTAAAATGCTATTAATTGGTTCTAAGAACAGAAACAGGAAAAATTTTTTTTTTTTAATTAAAATGCTATGAAGGCTTGGTGTGGTGGCTCATGCCTGTAATCCCAGCAGTATGGGAAGCCAAGATGGGAGGGTTGCTTGAGGCCAGGAGTTCAAGGTTGTAGTGTGCCACGATCAGACCTGTAAACAGCCACTATACTCCAGCCTGGGCAATGTAGCAAGATCCCATCTACAAAAATAACAAAGATAATCTTCTGTGTTTGGTGCCTTGAAATTTGACTTTGAAATGCACAATTTGGGCAAGGCATGGTGGCTCATGCCTGTAATCCTAGCACTCTGAGAGGCCAAGGCAGGTGGATCATCTGAGCTCAGGAGTTCGAGACCAGCCTGAGCAAGAGTGAGACCCCATCTCTACTAAAAAAATAGAAAGAAATTAGCTAGACAACTAAAATATATACATATATACACACACACACATATATATATAAATTAGCTGGAGGCCGGGCGCGGTGACTCACGCCTGTAATCCTAGCACTCTGGGAGGCCGAGGTGGGCAGATAGCTCGAGGTCAGGAGTTCAAAACCAGCCTGAGCAAGAGTGAGATCCCTTCTCTACTATAAATAGAAAGAAATTAATTGGCCAACTAATATATATAGAAAAATATATATTTTTCTATATATATTAGGGCATGGTGGCGCATGCCTGTAGTCCCAACTACTCGGGAGGCTAAGGCAGTAGGATTGCTTCAGCCCAGGAGTTTGAGGTTGCTGTGAGCTAGGCTGATGCCACGGCACTCTAGCCCAGGCAACAAAGTGAGACTCTGTCTCAAAATAAATAAATAAATAAAATAAAATGAAATGCACAATTTGGGGTTATTATGAATAGCGGTGATATAAATATGATTTCATGTGCGTTTTGGGGAAACATAATGTATTCATTCCTATTGGATATATATGGGGTGAAATTGCTCAGTCATGGGGTATGCATACACTATCAGTATTAACTATTGTTTTTATTAGCCATTATCTATTATTATCATCATGTTATTTATTATAGACCATTATTAGTATTAGCTCTCAATATTAGCTATTATTACTGCAGTTGCTATTAGTTACCATTCATGGCCTGGGGGTAAGATGAGCAGATGCCTAAGTAGCTTGTGCCTCTTGGAGAAGTCCCTGAGGGATGGGGGTGGGGTCCCCACATCCAGGGCAGTACAGCCACTGGAGGCCTGTGGCCCATTATGTAGCCTGGCACTCTTGACTTTTTGTGAAGAGGAACTAAGGTCATTGTGATCTAGGTAGGTCCCCTCCTTGGGAATCTGAACAATGCCCTAGGTGCTGGTCACTGGGTCACCACGTACATTGCGACGAGCTACCCAGAGGGAACACAGGGCAGGTTCACCCTCCTGCAGCGAGATCTGCCCACTGCCTTTGTCCAGTGCAGAGCCCAGCCACCTGGGTCGCCTCAGGCCACTACCCACAGGCCTTCCTTGAGCAATTGGTGGCTGAAATGCAGGGTCTCTCACCAACCCCCAGCATTGGGGGTCTGTGCCACCAGACCCCACTGCACAGGAAGATGTTCGTTTCCGGTTCCATGTCCAAAATATTTATTTTCAGGAAATGATTGTGCCTACACAACAGGGCAACGTTGTGGGGTATACCTGGCTGCCACAGTGGTACCTGGCAGGACTAACTGGGACAACAGAGCCACAGAATAAGGACTGGGAAGGTGGCAACAACTATAAGGCCTGGGGCTGGGTTGGGGGAAGACTTTGATAGTGACCACCTGGATGATAACCTGGGCGTCTGATGTGTTGGAATCCTGGTTAGTTTCTGGTCTGAAACCAGTGACTGTCTCTGATGCCGACGCGGGAGGACAGAGTGGCAAGAACTGTCCAGCTGCTCATCCGGGAACTTGTCCTCCAAGGGACTTTGCCACTTGTTTTCCTCCCGTACCTAGAAGGGACAGTCAGTGGTCAGCAGCATCCACAGCTCCCCCCAACACATGTCACTTGCTCAGACCCCCAGGCTACTCTCTTGCCCCGAGCAGCGTACCTGTTCCACTTGTCCGAAGACCCGCAGCAGGTTGCCACGAAGGACACCCTGAAGCTCTTCCTCACTCCAGCCACGTCTCAGCAACTCCTCTATCAGTACTGGGTATTTGGACACGTCCTCCAGCCCCTGAGGGAACCTGTGTGGCCACCAGCCAGCCACCCGGTGGGTCTCAGACCAGGTTCCCTGATCCTGACTCAACCAGAGTCTAGGGTCCCGGGAACCCCAGCCCTGCTCAGACAGGGGAAATGGAAACTTGGAGAGAGCACATGATCTGTCCTTGCCCTTCTACTCTTGAAGGACACCTCAAACATGCTTGAATATATGTCAAAACTCATTGAATTGTACTATTAACACTTATGCCTTCCAATGAACGCAAATGTTCCCCGCACTTATAAAAGAAGAAAAGCTTCTTTAGAACCGGGCTGGCCCTGCAAGCACAGCCCCAGCCGTGTGCAGAGAGGATGGCCAGCCCACACCAGACCTTGGCGAGTCTGCACAGAGGAAGTGGGTCAGCTGCAGCCAGGACTGGGCACAGGAGCTCTGTCTGGTGGCTTTGCCAAATATAATGCCCTAGAGTGGGGCACTGGGATGAAGACAGACAGGAGAGCCCAGGAGACTGACCCTAACAGTGGGGAGATGCCAGGAGGTCAAGGCCTAAAGGCCACGAGCCCCATAGCATAGTGGGCATGGGGACTGTGAGGGTCCCACTGCTGTACAGACAGCCCCAGACGAGCCACAGGGAAGCACTCACTGGCTGGCCCCATCGTAATCTCCGCCGATCCCAATGAACTCAGATCCGATGACTGCTTTGATGTGGTCAAAGTGATCTAGGAGGATGGAGAGTCAGCTGTTTGGGCTTGCAGGGCAGGGGTGGAACTCTGGGACTGGACTCTGCTGAGTTTCCTTCATGCAGCCTGGAGGCCACACAGGCAAATTCCTCATGGCCTGGCTCCCCGTGTGGCAATGAGGGCCCTGAGGTTTGAGCTGAACTGATTCCAGCTGGCTCTAGACTGGACTTCAGATTTGGGACGGACCCACAGAGCCACCCATTTCAGCCATTTCACTGACTCTAGTCTCTTGGAGAACCTGTGGAGGCTCTTTCTAGGTGTATAAAAGATGACAGAGGAACAAAGAATATAACTGATGAAAACCCCAGAGACCTAGGGGCTGCCCACGCCCTTGTCCAGAGGCAGAGCAGAGTGCTTTGGTAGCCCTTGTGGACTGCAGGTGACTGGCACTTGTATGCCATATCTGACTGCCTGCGTCCCTTGTGCCCATCAGTATCACAGTGTTTTTTTTTTTTAAGACAGAGTCTCACTTTGTTGCCTGGGCTAGAGTGCCGTGGCATCAGCCTAGCTCACAGCAACCTCCAACTCCTGGGCTCAAGCGATCCTCCTGTCTCAGCCTCTTGAGTAGCTGGGACTATAGGCATGCGCCACCATGCCTGTCTAATTTTTTCTATATATTTTTAGTTGGCCAATTAATTTCTTTCTATTTTTTTTAGTAGAGATGGAGTCTCGCTCTTGCTCAGGCTGGTTTCAAACTCCTGACTTTGAGCAATTCTCCCGCCTCAGCCTCCCAGACTGTTAGGATTATAGGCGTGAGCCACTGCGCCCAGCCAGTATCACATTGTTGACTCTGTGGCTCCAGTTCCAGGTGGCACCAAGGTGCTACATACTGTCTCCATCATTGGATTTGGGGTCAAACTGCTGGGACTATCCTGAAGCCCTCCCAAGGCTTGGGGTCCAAATCAGAGCTGTTCAGAGAGCTGGGGGGGGCCTTACCTGCCACAGTGGACACATTGGCTAATGAGTTGCACTGCACCACTCCCATGGACAAGGACACCATCACAATGCCACCATTCTTTTTCTGCAGGAGTAGTCAAATGGACACTCAGCTTGTCCGCCCAGCAAAGCACGTGCCTGCCCACCCTCTGAGCCCCCAGAGGAAGGTGGTTAGCCCTGGCCTCCAAGGTGAGAGGAGACTTCACCTCTTTGGGTTTGTGTGAATGGAGGAGTCTAGGCCCTGGTTTGGGTAGAAGCATTTTGTTCTAGGCACTCGCCTTGAAGGGCAGAAGAATATTTACCATCTAGAAGCCCTCACTCCTGGATTCAAGAGTTCAGAGACTGGGGACTGGGTGTTTGTGTGGCAGATGATATTCCCCCTGGGGTTTGAGGGAGTTGAGGGAGTAGGGGCTCAGGTCCAAGAGCTCCTCGTTTGCTCCTCTTGCTTTAGGTTCTAGGGCCAGGGAGTTTCTCACCAGAAGCTGCAGTATGTCATCAGGAACATTCCGAGCATTGTTGCACACACCCCGGGCAGCCGAGTGGGAAAAGATCACAGGTGCCTGCGACACTTCCAGGGCCCGCCGAGCCACAGCATCCGAGACATGGGACAAGTCTACCATCATGCCCAGGTGGTTCATTTCTGCCACCACCTTCTGCAGGGACAGATTGGGAGGAGAGTAGCAGGGGTGCAGATATGTTATATACACATGTAGGAAACAGGTGGGGTGTGTACATTTGTGTGACGTGGAGTATGAACCAGCATCCTCACCTCTCCAAAGCTGGTCAGCCCACTGACGTTACTGTAGAAGGGGTGGATGTCCTTCGCTGAGCTCTCTGCCCTGCAGAACGGGCCAGAAGGTGGTCTGATTGGTGGCCATGCCTTGGCCACAAGATGTTAGAGGCTCTATCCACCCTCTATCCCCACAACCTCCTGGAGCAAAAGCAGGGACCCAGGATGGGCTGTGTCTAGCAGAACAAGATCGCTGCTGGTATCTAGTCTGGTGAACCCCAGAACCCAGCTCCCCTCCCCCCTCCAGGGTCAGTGTGAAATCCCAGGGCAGATCCCTGCTCAGTGGGCCCGCAGTTAGCACCAAGTGCTCACCAGGGCGTGTTGCAGGTGTGCGTGAGCGTCAGGTAGCGAACTCCCAGCACGTAGAAGGCTCTCAAGATGGAGAGGCTATTGTCCAGTGAGTGGCCGCCCTCCACACCAATGAGGCAGGCCAATTTCCGGGTATTGTTCAGACCTGGGGGCAGGTAGGTCAGGTGATTATTTTCAGGGGCTGGAGTAGCTCAACCAAATTCCTAACACTCCCCACCAACCCACCTACCTTCAACTGAGGTCACAAGCTCCAGCTCGGAGTAGGAGGCACACATGCGGCGGATGAGGTCAATCTGCTCCAGGGTGAGGCGCATGGCATCCCGGTCCTGGGTCTGGCATGGGACGTAGGCCGACCAGAACTGGGGGGAAGGCCAGGGGTTGGCTTGGGCAGGGGCTGCTTTGGCGCTCCCTGGGCTTCTCATAGGCTCCACAGAACCCAGTGGGGCCAGGGGCCACACGCACCGCTTGTTCCCTTGTCCCTTCACACCCAGCATCGACCTCAGGGCACTTTTTGAGTCACTATGGTAACTGGGTTCCCATGTGACTAACTTGTAATGTCTGAGGCCCCCCCCACCCTCCCCAAGATTCCCTAGAAGCCATGCCCTGTTTGTCCCTGTGGTACCTGGGCGCCCACGAGGCCCTCTCTAAGCCTGTCCAGGCTGGTCTGGCCGTGGCTGAAATTGCGCAGGTTAACACCCTGTAGCCCGTTCTGGGAAAACTGCCTCAGGATCAGGGGCAGGTCGTTGTGGCTGGAGGAAAGTCAAGGCAGGTCAGGCCGAGGACAAAGGAGTGGACCCCCTAGGCCTCCAGGTCAGGCAGGACATGGGCCGGGGTCCCTCACCGCACATTGCCACACTGTCCAACTATATTGAGACCCCCGGAAGCCTGGGCTGGGGGGTTCCCACCACAGAGGGGCTGACAGAAGAGGAGAAGGGCACCTTCCTCAGCACCCATGGGTGATGAGGGGCCATCCAAGGATGGTGTGACGGAGCCTCCTTGCCAGCCCTGCATTCTCTGGGCCCCCTCCCCTGCCATGGGGTGTGCGCACCCCCATCGCCCCCACGCTGCACCTACGCACCCGTCCACGAGCGGGAAGTCCCGCATCAGGGCCCGCGCGCGCTCTCGCAGCTCCTGCATGCTGGGGGCACCCGGCGTGGTGGCGGTGTCCCACGTGCTGGAGGCACCCGGCGTGGTGGAGGTGTCCCGCGTGCTGGGGGCACCGGGCGTGGGCGGGGCGTTAGGGGCGTCTGGCGTGGTCTGGGCGCGAGTTCCAGGCTGCGGCGGCAGCAGGAGCAGCAGGAGCAGCAGACGCAGCAGAGGTCGCATGCCGAGCCCGCGGGGACCGTCGAGGTCCGCTGGCTGCATGTTGTGCAGCTTGAAGCAGGCGGGCAGAGGTGACCGTCGCGATAGCCTGACAGAGACGGGCGAGGGGCAGAGGGCGAAGATGGAGTCCTGACCCAAGACTCGGATCACCCAGCGGCGAGGCCTCGCGAGGAAGGGGTTGAAATCACGGGACCCCGCGACGGATGCGGACTGCCGCGCCGTTCGGCCACCAGGGGGCGCCGCGCCCTCCCGCCCATTTCCCCAAGGCGCCCCCGCAGGCTGGGAGGCCTCTGCCACGTGCGCCCACGCGCCTCGCGGCTCAGGCTCCCGCCGCCCCTCCCTTTCTCACTTCCCCGCTGCTCCCAGCGAGCCGACCCAGCTTGCTCCTGCGCTGCCCCTAGGCTGGCCCTCCACGAGAGGTGCTGGGGCGCTTCTTCCAAAGAGTGGCCCTGGGCCCTGAGGCCCGTCCCGACCACATCATGTCCCCGACTGCTTGTGGCCTATCCCGGCCACACCCAGGGCTGCTTGTGTCTCTCTGACCACGGTGCACTGGGCTCTGGGTTCCCAGTGCTGGGCCGCGTGGGGTGGGAGTGCAGGAGGAGAAAGTCTCTGGAAATGAGGGGTTAACCTTGCACACTGGATTCGGGATGGGGCCCTGTGTCCCTGACCTCCCTCCGTTGCTTTATCATGCCCCCATGTCCCTCCCTGAGGGACTCTAGCCAGCAGCTGGGAGCTGGCAGGAGCACCCCTCGCCCTTCCCAATCAGCCTCAGCAAAGAGCTCCCTCCTAAGGCGCTGCTGTACCTCCCCAGGACCCAATGGAGGGACATTTGGGATGAGAAGCCAGCGAACATCTGGCCAGGGTCAGGGGACATTTACTCCATAGAGCAGGAACCCAAACAGCTATTTGTTTTTGTTTTTTTTTTTGAGACAGAGTCTCGCTTGTTGCCCAGGCTAGAGTGAGTGCCGTGGTGTCAGCCTAGCTCACAGCAACATCAAACTCCTGGGCTCAAGCAATCCTTCTGCCTCAGCCTCTCGAGTAGCTGGGACTACAGGCATGCACCACCATGCCTGGCTAATTTTTTTTATATATATATATTAGTTGGCCAATTAATTTCTTTCTATTTATAGTAGAGACGGGGTCTTGCTCTTGCTCAGGCTGGTTTCGAACTCCTGACCTCGAGCAATCCCCCCGCCTCGGCCTCCCAGAGTGCTAGGATTACAGGCGTGAGCCACCGCGCCTGGCCCCAGACAGCTATTTGAATGGAAGGAAATGAAGTAATCCCAGAGCAGCGGAGCCCCCCGCCCCGTACCTTCCCTCAAGAGCTGCTGGCCAGGGTCCTCCCTACCTCCGTGTGGAAGCCCCTGTCTCCTCCTGGTGAGAAGTAAGGGTCCCACGGAAAGGCCTGGCACCTGGGTTCTGCAGCTCCCCTCACCCTGTCTCCTGCCTCTTGTGGCTCCAGGTCTCCCAGAAACCTCGGGCTGAGTTCCCTTCCTTGCCCCGCAGGCCCCACCCTATTCCCAGCCCTGCGGCCCTCACCCTAGCTTCCTCTTCCAGCAACGTCCCCAACCACACAAGCACTCCCGCCCACGTACACAGGGATGTGCTCTCTCCCAGAGGCCCTACCACCGGAGAGGCTTCGGGTCTGTGCCCAAACTGTGTCACCCACAGAGACCTTGTCTTTCTCCTGCCCCGCAGCTTCTCAAAACTCTGCCCTGAACTTTGGCACCCCGAGAAGCAGCTCCACCTTTGCAACCTTCCCCAGGTGGCAGAACTGACTAGGGCATGGGTAGTGACCTAAGTCTCACGACTGGAGAGGTGAGAAGGCCCTGTGACAATGAAATGAGCAAACTCTTCCAAAGGGACTGGAGGGGCCACGCTAACCAGGAGGGACAGTGCTTCCAGCTTTGATGTATTTTAGGGACTGTGCACTTGATGTTGCCCAGGGCCTGCTGTCCACGGCAGGCAGATCCAGGGCGTTGGCTAGAGGTGGGTCTACTCCCTGCCCAGTGCCGCTGGAGGGTTCTCTAGGGAGGCCCGTTGCAGAGTGTGAGGCCACTAGTGCTCTGCTTCGGAGAAGAGTGGGGTGGTTGGGGCACCCCAATGCCCACCTGGCTCCCTTCCTGCCCTCCACTGTCCACTGCTGCTCATGCAGTCCTCCTCTCACCCGCTCGTGCAGCCGAGTGGCAGGAGGGAGGAGGAGTTCTGGAATTTGCTGGTCTCCAGGTGAAGAACGTGGTTGTGGTGGATAAAGGGTTTGTTCTACCCCTTCCTTAAGGCCTCCAGGAGTGGGGGCATAAGGAACAGGGAAGAGGTAGGCAGGGATACCTACCTAACAAGCAAATGGTAGCTGCTGATACAGGAGTGGGTGGGGATAATGGAACTTTTATGAGGTTTTTTTAGCTTTTCTCCAGGGTCCGAATGTCTGATGTCCCAGGACTCGGGGGAAACACTAGGCTGTGATGAGACAGTGAAGGTGGGCACTGTGTCTGCCGAAGGTTAGCTGGGCAGCACGACTGTCCTCAGCATCCAACTTCAGTCCTCACACTTCAGCCTTGTGGTAAGTTTAGGTTTAGGTTTTAGCCACCAAGGTGGCCTGTCCCCACCTTAACCTCACCCAAGGCCATGTCTGTGCTCTACCCCTTGCAGGAGAAACAAGCACATACCAGCAAAGCCTTATCCTAGGAGCCCCCAGTATCAGTGACACAAGGACAACTTGGGGTCAGAGGGTAAGTGACCCAGATGCTGGCAGAGGTGGACACAGGGGGGGGAGGCGGGGAAGCTGGGGTCAACCCCATAGCTGGCTATGGGTGCCATGCCTGAGGCCTCCTCACTGTCTCCCCCTCGCCCCGCCTCACGGTGTCTCCACATCCTGCTGGCTCAACCTCCAACCATCTCCCAGGTGTGTCTTCTTCCTGTTCCCACTGCCTCTTCCCCAGGACAGGCCACTGTCATCTCCTCACCTCCAGTCCCTTCCCCACGGAGAAGCCGTACCTCTTCCTCTTTTAAAACACTCTGAACCTAAAGTTCTTCTGCAGCTTCCCATAGCTCTTAGAACATTCCAGATTTCTTTCTGTGGCTTTTAAGTCCTGGAGGGTCTGCTCCCACCAGTGACTGTAGTCTCAGCAAAAAGCACAAACCTCCTTGCTCTCTGAGCTCTGGCCACATCAGCGATGCCTCCTCCCACCACAGGGCCTTGGCACATGCTGTTCCCTCAACCTCCAACTGGTGGGGTTTTGAGGCAGGGCCAGGACAGGAAATCTTGCTGCCAGGAGGGAATGGTGGGTGAGCAGCTCCTCCCTGTAATTCCTCACCTGTGCTGTGTCTCCATAAATGGAGACGTGCAGGGGATGCAGTGATAGACATGGGTTTCTCCCAGGACCAGGCCCATTCTGGTACAGAGCTGACTCACCCCTACCGATCTCCCGTGTGTCGCAAGAACATGCAGGGGAGCAAGAAGTCAGGGTGAGTTAGAGGTGCACAGGGCGCCTCACGTGCTCAGAGTGCAAGGGTGGGTGCAGGTGGGTCTTACTCAGTATCCAGAATTGCCCAGAGGATGGTCTCCTTCATCCAGGGTCCCCTGGTCCTGGAGACTCACGCTGGATCTGCTCCCAGATTCAGACTGATTCAGACCAAGTTCCAAGGAATAAGAGTCATCCAAGCCAGAGCACGGCCTGGCCACTGTGGATACACATCCTCCAATCACAAAGCTGAAGCCACCCGCCTTGAAGTGGCACATAGCCAGCACGTTTTTCTTCCTCCAAAGGCAGCCAATGTTTGTCTTTCTAGAAGTACAGCAACCACTTGTGTGTCTCTGTCTCCTGCTTCCACCCAACCTTCTCCCCACCCCCACCTTTCTTTGCCACACTTTCGCCAGCCTGTCTCACATTCCTGGGTGACTTTTTGATGGAGACAATGATGACCTGAGTCCCATCTGCACCATTGAGCTCCTCTTACAGCTGGGCTCTGCCTGAGTTCAAGAGCACAAGATCGGCCGGATGCACTCTGGGAGGCTGAGGTGGGAGGATTGCTCAAGGTCAGGAGTTTGAGACCAGCCTGAGTAAGAGCAAGACCCTATCTCTACTATAAATAGAAAGAAACTAATTGGCCAACTAATATATATAGAAAAAATTAGCCGGGCATGGTGGCACATGCCTGTAGTCCCAGCTACTCGGGAGGCCGAGGTAGGAGGATCGCTTGAGCCCAGGAGTCTGAGGTTGCTGTGAGCTAGGCCGATGCCTCAGCACTCTAGCCAGGGCAACAGAGTGAGGCTCTGTCTCAAAAAAAAAAAAAAAAGATCCAGAATATACGGTCCCCAAAGCAAAGTCACACGAGCTTGGCTGCCAGACTTGAAGCGCGTGACTAAGCTGCTTCTGGGGCCCAGATGTTTTGGTGTGAAGCCCACAGGCTGGGAGCTTGTGCTCTGAGATTGGATTCCATGTTGTTGTGTGTTCTTTTTTTTTTTTGAGACAGAGTCTCAAGCAATCTGGGCTCAAGCAATCCTGCTTCCTCAGCCTCCCAAGTATCTGGGACTACACCATGCCTGGCTAATTTTTTTCTATATATATTAGTTGGCCAATTAATTTCTTTCTATTTATAGTAGAGACGGGGTCTCGCTCTTGCTCAGGCTGGTTTCGAACTCCTGACATCTTGCAATCCGCCCACCTCAGCCTCCCAGAGTGCTAGGATTACAGGTGTGAGCCACCGCACCCGGCCAAAGATAGTGCCATCAGCTGGGGGTGGGGAAGGAGGCTAGAGGGGCCTGGGTACAGGAGCTGGACCCAGCAGGGTCTTCAAGGGTGTCCCTGGGAGGCAGATGGCACTCCCTGAAATGTGTCGCCCAGAGGGGGATGGCATATCTAGGTAACTCCATGAACAAAACCCTCTGTGCTGATTATCCTCTCTACAAACAAACAAGCACGTGGTGAGCCTCTGTTCTCTCAGGATCAGGTTTTGCTGGGACCTCTCCTCCCTCCTCCTCCTGATGGCAGCAGTATGGCATGGCTGCCACTGCCCAAGCTGGCAAGTGACCTCAACAGGCCACAGCCAGGTATTTGGGCACCTACACATGGCAAGGGCTCAAGCAGCATTGGTTGGAGAAGGAGTGGATTTGGCACTCGGGAGGCTTCACTTCCCTTTCCTTCACAGAGCAAGGGCACGTGTGCCCGTGACAGTGAGAGCAGCCACAGTTCCTGTGTGCCCCCATCTGTGCCACCAGTCTGACATGCCTTCGCTGGTTCAATCCTCACAACACCCAGCATAGGGTTTTTCCAGCCTCGTTTTCTTTTTTCTTTCTTTTTTCTTTTATTTTTTGGGGGACAGAGTCTTACTCTGTCACCCAGGCTAGAGTTCAGTGGGGTCATCAGAGCTCACTGCTACCTGAAACACCCTGGCTCTAATGATCCTCCTGCCTCAGCCTCCCACGCGGCTGGAACTACAGGCACCGACCATTAGGCCTGGCTAAGTTTTCCTGTTTTTAGTAGAGACAGAATCTCACTCTTGCTCAGGCTGGTTTCGAACTCCTGACCTCAAGTGATCCTCCTGCCTCGGCCTCCCAGAGTGCTAAGATTATAGTCGTGAATCCCCCGTGCCCTGCCCTCCAGCCTCATTTTCTAGGTGGGAAAATCGAGCTGCTGGCCAGGCAGCTGGTCACAGTGATGCAGGCCTCACCGTGTCACATGGGGATTCCTCCAGGCCCCCCACTTCCAGCTGCTGCCTCTCTCTCAGGAAAGGCCTCGAATTCCTTACATCCGTTTCCCACTGACCTCCCACTAGTGATCTCTCACTGGTGCTGGTCATTTGCTGGGGTGTGCGGTGAGGTGGCTGGACCGGTGTCCGGTTATCACATGTGCTGGCATAAGCACACTGGAGGAGGGGCTGTAGTGACACCAGGTTCTAGAAGCCAGTGCTGACCAAACCTCTACTGTGCATTTAGCCTCAAGTTCAGACTTGCTGTCTGTTTTGCTCTACCTAGCCTGCTCATCTCTGAAGCCCGACGGATGTGTTTCTGCAACACGCCATTCATTGCACACCGTCCACAGCCCCCCAAACTTCCTGTTTTTATGTGGGGAGCCCTGCCCTCCTGTGACGCCCATCATGTGAGCTCTCCCGGATCCCTGAGCTGGCAGGATATCAGACATCACCTGAGAAGCTTTGATTTTATTTATTTATTTATTTTTTTGAGACAGAGTCTCACTTTGTTGCCCAGGCTAGAGTGAGTGCCGTGGCGTCAGCCTGGCTCACAGCAACCTCAATCTCCGGGGCTCAGCGATCCTACTGCCTCAGCCTCCCGAGTAGCTGGGACTACAGGCATGCGCCACCATGCCCGGCTAATTTTTTGTATATATATTTTTAGTTGGTCAATTAATTTATTTCTATTTTTGGTAGAGACGGGGTCTCGCTCAGGCTGGTTTTGAACTCCTGACCTTGAGCGATCCGCCCGCCTCGGCCTCCCAAAGTGCTAGGATTACAGGCGTGAGCCACCTCGCCCGGCCTATTTTTTAAACATTTCATTAGGGAAAATGTCAAACATATAACAAAGTAGAACCCTGGTGAGGTGGCTCATGCCTGTAACCTTAGCACTTTGGGAGGCTGAGGTGGGAAGATGACTTGAGGTCAGGAGTTCAAAGCCGCAGTGAGCTATGATCTTGCTACTGTACTCTAGCCTGGGTGACAGAACGAGACTCTATCTGTAATAAGTAAGTAAGTATGTAAGTATCGTGTTTCCCCCGAAAATAAGACAGGATCTTATATTTATTTTTCCTCAAGAAAACACCCTAGGGCTGGGCACGGTGGCTCACGCCTGTAATCCTAGCAATCTGGGAGGCTGAGGCGGGAGGATTGTTTGAGCTCAGGAGTTCGAGACCAGCCTGAGCAAGAGCGAGGCCCCGTCTCCACTAAAAATAGAAAGAAATTAATTGGCCAACTAAAAATATGTAGGAAAAAATCAGCTGGGCATTGTGGCACATGCCTGTAGTCCCAGCTACTCGGGAGGCTGAGGCAGAAGGATTCCTTGAGCCCAGGAGTTGGAGGTTGCTGTGAGCTAGGCTGACACCATGGCACTCTAGCCCGGGCAACGGAGTGAGACTCTGTCTCAAAAAAAAAAGAAGACAGGGCTTATTTTCAGGGGATGTGTTATTTTTTTAAAGTATGGTACAACAATCTACATTTATTCAAATATACTTAAGTCGTCTTCTTCTGGAACATCATCATAACTCTCCAAACCCCGAATTCCATCCTGAATTTCTTGCGACTCTATTTCCTTTAGAACCATTGGCCCCAATCTCTCATGTTGAGCAATAGAGCTCTCATGGGGCAGATGAGAAGGGCTGCTCGTCTTCTTTACTGCTCCGCAACGAAATGCATGGGTTGTGCAGATATGCTGCGTAGCCACACCCATCACTAGGTCTTATTTTCGGGGCAGGGCTGATATTGTGCAAATGCTTAGAAATCCTGCTAGGGCTCATTTTATGGGTAGGTCTTATTTTCGGGGAAACACGGTAAATAGAGAGGAGAGTATATTGAACTCACATGTACCTATCACCCAGTTTCAATGATTAACAACTGATGGCCCATGTTGTTTCTTTTTTATTTAAAAAATTTTTATTTTATTTATTTTTTTGAGACAGAGTCTCACTCCATTGCCCAGGCTAAAGTGCCCTGGCATTTGCCTAGCTCACAGCAGTGTGAAACTCCTGGGCTCAAGCAATCCTCCTCCTCAGCCTCACAAGTACCTGGGACCACAGGTGCACACCACCATGCCCAGCTAATTTTTTCTCTTTTTAGTAGAGACAGAGTCTCGCTCTTGCTCAGGCTGATCTTGAACCCCTGATCTCAAGCGATCCTCCCACCTTGGCGTCTCAGAGTGCTAGAATTACAGGCGTGAGCTACTGGGCCTGGCCAACCCATCCTGTTTTATCACCCTTTCCACAGATTATTTTAAAGCAAATCACAGAACATCTAGTTCATCATATTTAAGTATATGTCAGTAAAAGGTAAGGGCTCTTTTTAAAAAACAACAACCAGCCAGGGGTGTGTGTGGTGTGTGCCTGTAGTCCTAGCTACTTGTGAGGCTGAGGCAGGAGGATCCCTTGAGCTTGGGAGTTTGAGGCCAGTTTAGGCAACATAGTGAGACCCTCATCTCTGAGAGAAAATAAATAAATGAAGGACAACTGCCATACCATTATGGCACCCCAAAACCTTAATAGTACTTCTTTAATATCTTAAATTATCAGGTTCAAATTTCCCTGATTGCGGAATTCTTTCATAACTGATTTGTTTGCATCATAGAGAAGACCTCACACATTGTAGGTAGTTGTCAGGGCCTAATGTGTAGGGTCCTCTTCCCTGTTTTTTGGGTTTATTTATTTGTAATTTATTTGTTGAAAACATCATGTCTTTGTCCTTTACAGTCATCCATATTCTGGAGTTTTCTGATTGTATCCCATCATGTCATTGAATGTCTTCCTTTGTCCTGTAAAATGGTAGTTATGGGAAGCTTTTAAATTTGATTTCCAGGCTCCCCCCCTAAAAATTTACAGGGGCTGGTGTTAGTGCTGGGGATTGATCTTTCCTAAGAGCCCAGGTGAGCCTGTGTGTCTCATGTTTGGGAATTGCTACCCCATGTGACCCCTCCAGTAATCACAGTTGTTCCTGAGTCACGCCAAGTAACAGAGAGAAACTGTGGCAGGTTAGTGCAGACTCCCAGTGGGGACACCCTGGGCGCCCCAGAGCCCGTGCCTCCTTCCTGGAAAGGAGGTTAGGGAAACTTCTGACGTTATCAGGACCTTTCCTGGCCTTGCGGCTGCGCATGTCAGGGAGTAAAGCTACAGTCTTGCTGCTGTGGCCCCTGAGGACAGGTTTGCTGTCCACATGGTGGGTGGCTTCACCTGGGGCTTGGGGCTATGAGTTGCTGACAGAGCCACCTTCTTTCTGCGTTGCTGGTGCAGGTGGGCCTGGGACACAGGCCCAAACCCTGTGCTGTGTCTTCTCTGCTGACCCCTCCCCCACCCCCACTCCCCAGGACCAACTGTCCCCTTAACTGCTGAGAGAGACATTCCACTAGTAACAGTCAGCACCTCACTGCCACAGCACACAGCAGTCAAGATTGATCTTTTCAGCATCTACATCAGATCACTCTCCTGTTCTGTTTAAATGCTCCCGTGACTTCCCATCTCACTCAAAACAAGATCCACACTCCTCAGCCTTCTCCATCTTTCCTCCCTGGACACTTTAGCCTTTTTGCTGGTCCTAGAACAGGTCAGTCTCATTCCCGCCTCAGGGCCTTTACTCTTGCTGTTTCCTCCAGGAATGTTCTCCCTCCAGCTCCAGCTCCTCCCATGACTCCTTCATTTGCATCACTGCTGAAATGTCACCTCCTCAGAGAAGACTTCCCTGACCACCTTGTGTAACATAATGGTCCTCATCACTGTATTCTCTTATCCCATTTTATTTTTCTTTATAGCAATCATAATTACCTGAAATTATATTGTTTACCTGTTTGTCTCTTCCTTTAGTTTGTGGTGGTTTAAGGAGAGAGGCTTGGATCATTAATGAACCCACAAGGAGGGTTCAGTGTTGCTCTCAGCACAGAAAGCCAAGTACTCAGACAACACGAATCGTCAAGCAATAAAGGATTTATTTCAGTGGTCGTGTCGCTTGGGAGCAGGAGGTATGAACTGCCTCAAACCCACCTCCCTGACCAACAAGATCAGGATTTTTTTCTGCAGTCAAAATGAATAATGCATGGGGGGAGTTAGCCTCCTTATATATTTGGGGTGGAGTGCAGGACATGCAAGCACAGTGAGAAATCATACTAGTACATACCTCTTATGATCAAAAAATGGTGGATAACTCCCTTCTGGGGCAGGGATTTTAATATTTTAATGAGCTTGGGGTTAATATTGGTCATTCTTTCAGCATTGTGTGCAGGCTTAGTGGGTCGTTGGGCGTAACTGGTGGTGGAGTTATCACTTGTCTTCTCTGGACAAATAAATAGGTGGTGTAAAGCTTTGTAGTTATCTCAGATGGCCTGGGAACTTAAAACATTAAGAGAACTACCAAAAAAAATTATTAAAAAGTGTTTTCTTGGCCGGGCGAGGTGGCTCACGCCTGTAATCCTAGCACTCTGGGAGGCCGCAGGCAGCGATTGCTTGATGTTCGACAACCAGACTGAGCAAAGCGGGGACCGTCTCTACTATACAATGTATATTGTATATATGAGGCCAACGGCGCCGGGTGGGCTCACACCTGTACCCTAGCCACTCTGCGGGGGCGAGGCGCGGCTGATTGCTTTGAGAGTTAGTAGTTCGAAACCACACTGAGCAAGACACAGACAACATTATATCTCTAATAATAAAATAAATAGAATTATTGGCAACGAATAATTATATCAGTTAGCTGGGCTGGTGGTGCATGTGTTGTCCACTACTTGGGAGCGAGCAGGATTCGGTTTGAGTTTGGGTTGCTGTGAGCTAGGCTGACACACGCCTCACTTTGACTGGGCCAACATACGTGGAGACTCGCTGTCTCAAAAATAAAAGAATAACAGTGTTTTCTTGCTTATGGAGCTGGTTATAGGATCATCTCATTCACCAGTATATTCCAAGCAACTAGCACAGAGGCTTGGTATGCGTTCCAGGCAACTCAATAGATTACTTCAACACTGGAGGGATGGATAAGTCGGCTGAAGATGGACAGCA